ATATGTTTATCAAATAAAAAATTAATATTCTAATATAAATCGATTGTCAATAATATTTCATATAAAATAATTGAAAAAAAAAAAAAAAAAAAAAAAAAAAAAAAATAATATTCATATTCATATTCATATATCGACATTATGGATATCATCAATTATTAAAAATACAATAAACAAGAGAATGATAAATAGAAATGAACGAGTGTATGTGTTTTAATCAAATATTCACATGTCTCAGATAGATGGAATAACAGGAACAGCCTTAGTCGTTGTCAGCAAAAGTGACAGGAGGCACGTGCCTTACGTGCGATCAAAGTTGTATAGGAGGAGACAAGAACGCGTACGCGGAAACGCGACTGTTCGCGATGCCGCACAGTATAATTCCGGCCTTTCGAATTCTGAACATTATAGATCGCACGCACGTAGATTAGAGATCGCGGGATTCATCCGTGTAACGATTAATAGTCATCGAAGAGAACGTTTACGCCTAGAATAAAAAATTTCTTTTACTTTTACACACCGTGAGATCCCTCCTTCAATCTGATTAGAAAAGATTCCACTTTTCTTTTTCTCTTATTAATATTATTATTATTATTATTATTATTATTATTATTATTATTATTATTATTATTTTCACCGTTTGTCTTCTATTTTTATTCTCTTTTTCTCCTTTTTTTTTTGTTTTTTCACTTTTCGTGTTTTTTTTTTTTCCAATAGTAAATACATAGGACAAAGATACAGAAAAGAAAAATTGACGAAGTAACTTATATACTTTGATTTTGTTTTTTTTTTTTTTGAATAATTATTAAAACATATAACATCCTATTACTAATAATTAACTGTTCTTTTTTATTTTTAATGAAAAAAAAGGAAAAAAAAAAATATATATATATATATACATATAAATATAATTATTAAATATAATAATTATTGAATTAATATGGAAATATTAATTTTTTTTTTTTTAAACAGAAGATACATTCATTATGATACATAACAATGAGTTCTCACTTTACGAAAGAAAGATCGGGACGAATTAATTCGCAATGGCAAAAATTCTAATCGATTGAAACGAATCAAGGATTAGAAAGGAAACGGAGCTTTTGTCAAGAAATAAATATAAACTTTTGTATTGCTAAATTTTGTTGACCGTTTTAAAATAAATATTATCAATCTGAAAAAAAAAGCTTAACAAATCATCGATAAATATTAACACTTTTTTACTCAAACTCTATCTAAAAGAAATATTATCCAATATCTAATTTATATTAGTATTATATACCTACAGCTGTAATAAGTATAATTTATATACGACAAACATTAATCTTCAATGAAAAGTTTATTAAGAAGATCTCTCTATTAATTTTTCTTTTTTTTTTTTTATTAATAATAAATAATATTATATATATATATATATATATATATATATATATACAAATGTGTGTGTGATTTAAAAAAAAAATAAATATCTGATAATACATATACACATTATAATTGTATAATTATAATATTGAATAGTGTTATATAAATAGTTAGAAACGTATATCTTCTCTATAAGAAAAAAAATAAAAATAAAAATAAAAAAAAAAATTAATTCTATAAAACGAATCGAATTATGTATATTTTAAGAAATATAAATTAATATATTTTAAATGTTATATAACGTCAATTATTCTCGATCATTGCTCTCGTTATAATTCCCATTAACATTTTTCTCTAGTCAACCTTCGAAGGATACACTCGTAATCAGGAAATACAATTGAAGTTCTCTTCGCACGTCCTTGGGTATAATTATACAGAGGACCTCCTCCTCCTCCTCCTCCTCTTCCTCCTCCTCCCTTCCACTTCAACATACATATATATAGACATTATTTATTACAAAAGAACGTCGTATTCCAAAGCGTATATCAACAAACAAGGACCATAGTCCTTCTACGACATTCGTCAACATAAAATGATCGAAACTTCATAGTATGAGTATCTTGAGAGATAATTTCGAGGCTACTGTGCATCGAACGATGCATCATTAATTCGAGGATTCACTTATGCCATGTGTATATACATATGTACATATATATATATATATATATATATATATATATGTGTGTGTATGTATGTATGCATGTATATATGTACGTACGAGAACAATTTTACGACGTAATATAAAACGTTAAATGACATTAATAATATATCTCTTAAAATATTATCAATTATATGTATTTATTAATGAAATAATAGAAAATATTTTTTCAAACAATATATATTATTTTCAATCGATTGTGTATACCACGTGTATTCGATATCGATAAGATAAATGATTTTTATTAAAAAATAAATCAATTTTAAAATGACGCACCCAGTATATCGGAAGTTATAATATTAAGGCTGTTCACCCTTTGTGATATCAGAGAGAGAAAGAGAGAGAGAGAAAGAGAGAGAGAGAACAGGAGGTGCGGAAAAAATGAATTAAATACCCGTTAAATGTACCCTTCTCTCGAATCATCCTATCGATGTGTATGTTTGTCGTTTAGGTGCTTACGTTTATACTTCTAATACTGTCAATCATTCACTTGAATTGAAGAACTGAGCTAACAATGAAACAACAAATATAATGTACGATAAATATTTATAAATTCTATATATATATATATATATATATATATATATATATATATATATAGAAATTTTATGAATAAACATTGATGCATCTTTTTATACTCTTTCACTTATATTTACGTTGATAAAATGATTTCAATTCTTCATCCTTTGCTTATCTTGTCATATTACACTTTAATTATCAAAATTGAAGATAAGATTTGACATTTAAAATTGAAACTTAATTATGATCATATGTCACACACGCACGCACGCACGCACGCACACACACACACACACACACACACACGCACGCGCGCACACACACACAGATTATATTATACTCGTATATATATAATTTATTATAAAATGAATTATACATATTATATATAATATTATTAAATAGTTATATTAATTAAAAAATATTATATTGGATATATATGATGAGTGTACTTTTACAAATTTAATATATATATATATATATATATGTGATTTGCGTATTCAATATGTAATATATTAAAATTAATATCTAACCTTTTATATATTAATTGAATATATAAATTTAAACTTACTTATCTATAGAAAATCTTATCTATCGAGAGATAATATTTAAATGTCTTCATTGTATTTAATATATAAATGATATATATTTATATATTGAAAATTAATATGTATATAATATTAATGAAACGCGAATAGGTCTAAACACGTCTGAATAATTGCTAATACGAACGAGAACTGCTACGTAACGCGTTAGTAAGGATGAAAAGAAAACATAACAAAGGCAACCTCTCGATTGTCCTTTGATTATATACTTTAGCCGTACTTCCTAAATTCTTTGAATAGTTATATAAATCAAACGTAAACAAAGCATTGAACGTACATACATCATATATGGAAACGAAATGTATACAACGTTTATAACCTTCCTTTTTGTTATGATTCTTGGCAGTAAGTAATAGACCGTCGACGAAGATGGTTTATCCCCGATCGATGAGGTAAATTTTAAATTTGTTCTTTTATTTCTTTCTTTATTAAAGGCTACACACGCTTTATATATATATATATATATGTATACTTAAAAATAGACTTACGTGTACGTGAAGAAAGGTTTTCATTAAATATCATTTCTATAGTTTACTGCATAATTTTCTTTGAGTAAGGACCTCTTCAAAAAGCTGAAACATATTAGATCGATATTAATAAAATAAGAAATTAATTTCGTCGTATGTATATATACGCAGACATATGGAAATGCGTGTGTATATATATATATGTACGTATATGAAAATCATATATAAGACAAAATACAAATTAATGCGATTAATTGACGAAAGATTATTAATTAGAGCGTCTTTGATAGATAAGAAAAGTATCGATATTTGCAAAAATATAATGAGAAAATTCGAAATAGGAAATATCATCAAGGGAAGTCAAGACGCCGAATTATATTTTCGTTGATATTTTTCGAACGAGACGGATTCCACGATTTGTGAACATTCACTCGTAGAAATTGTTTTTTCGCCGATCGATTGATATATAAAAGAAGTATATACATTAGAAATAATATACTAATTACCTGTAATTAACGGGACGACGAAACTTTGTTGCAATCGGTATCACGAAATAATTCAAAATGGCAGATCCAACATTATTAACATCAAGTGGTCCCTTTACGCATGCGCAATTACGTCACATGTATAAAATGGCAACCTCCACGAATTTAATAATTTTTCGATCTATTTTATACGAAAATATCGAAACGTTAAAAATATGATCTACCAATTTAAAAACTATATAAACGAATATTTTTCAAATCCAAACGATGGAAATTAATCATTATAATTCGATAATTATTGAGATAATGCTCGAAAGCATGAATAAAAAATTGTAAAGAAATATATATCCATACGCTCGCATAATATTATTTTTCACGCGATTATTTATTTTATTTTATTTTAAAGAGACTTTATCATGACGTCTTTTAATAATATCGATTTGAAATTATTTATTTGCGAATCGATTGATATATTGAAAGATTCTTTACGTTAGAAAATATATGCTAATTATACTCGTAATTAACGTGACAAGGAGAAGCTTCATTAGGATCTTTAACAAGGATCTTAACCAACAAAAGAAGAAAAAAAAAAGAGCGTTGATTGGTTGCGTCGAAAAATTAGGAGCCGCTCATTGGACACACGTGTATAATGCGTCACCTTGCATATATCACGTGATCATACATATATATGTATATACATCAATACGAATAAATTTATTAATTTTTATTTACGATTAAAATATAATATTTCATATAAAATCTAAAAGGCAAAGTGAAGTTTCATTAGAAGTATCATTAGAATCGATAACGTGAAATTAAATTTTTCATAAAAATTAGATTTTTTTTATTT